AGTGAAGCCAGGTGGATTACAACTCCACTGGCAAGCGTGCACCCAGCATCTGCATGCTTAGAAAACTCTAGGAATTGTCTGAAAAACCAAAAATTGTCATGCATGCACAACGGATTTTGAATATAATTCTTAAGTGAACTTCTAAAAGAAAGCAAAGCCATCAGTGCACCTTAGAAACTAATGCATTACAGGACTTTAATCAAGCATTGCTCCATAATTAGACACACTTTTCCCAGCACAAAAGTTTTTTTAAAGCCAAGTATCTGATGCCTTGAACTGCTGTTATACTTAAGAAAATAAACTTTAAAAGACATTCATTATTCTTGAACTAAGCATTTCCTTACTAAGTCCCATCCTAGAACAACTTTTAACTGCTAATTTATCATCCTCCCTCCCAGTGACAGGGAAGATTTATAGTGGAAAATGCTTATTTAACATTACTCTGATGCCAAAAACACATGGTGTTACACTTTTGGTGATATTGGTCAAGAAGCAATAACCAAGGAAAACAAACTACTAAGAAATAACCCCCCCAAAAAACCCACTCCCACAATTGTGAGGCTTGGCATGATTCTATTGGAATAAACTGCAGTGGAATCCCAACCTAAAGGTTGTTTATAAAAGACTAAATGTCTGATTTCATCCTCTTGCAGCCACCTGCCTATCCCTTATCTCCATTGCAGCACTGCTGTGCTTATCAGCACTCTGATCCCACTCTGCCAGGAGCACATTCCAGAGCCCCACTGCCCATTCCAAACGTGCAGCACTGGGAGAAAGCCACTAACTGTGAGTTTTCTAACATGGGCTCAAGCCACCAACACAGGAAGAGATGCAAAGGATGAGGGAGGAGAAATGCCCCCTGCACGTGCTGCCAAAATCCAGAATCAATCTGATGGCAGGGTCAAGGTCACAGCAAGAAAAGAGATGGGAGGCCAGCACAGGGATTTTCACACATAGCATCTACCTCAGATGAGATTTAAATGAATGAAGTGAGGAAGAGGAGAAGAATGAACAGCCAAACCTCCAGAGCACAGGATTTCATAGCAAGAAGAACCTTCACTGTAACCATCTGTCAAAAAACAAAGAAAAAACAGGACATCTGTTGCCCAACAAGTTCTCAGATATTCTCTTATTTTTTTATATAAGAGGTGAGAAGAAAAAAAAGAGGGGGGAAATAAACTATTATAAAAGGAATGGCTCTTCAAATTTCATTCTAATCAGAGGGCAAGAACCACCTAAGAACATGCAAGTGGAAACAACCTGGCTGACAGAAGGCATAAGAAGACAACTCTCACAATTCTTCAGAAGAGAAAAAAGTCACAAAATGAATAAAATGAACTCCTGATAAAACCACAAGCTTTCTGAAACCCAGATGAAAAAAAGATCTGAAGCTTACTGACAAATCATCTCAGCCAAGTAAAGGTTCTTGAATATTTTAAAATTCAAGGCATTTTGCAAAAGTGCAAATCACATCACTGGAGATCACTTCATTACATGAACAGCACAGTTGACAGAATAGGAAAGGTCAGGGCTTTAGGAAAGAAACTACCAGGAGGCAGCACTGAAGGTAAAATGAAAATATTCCTTCAGAATGCCTGCAATGCAAGAAAGCACAGCTGAAGCAGGAGCGCATTAACCCACTATTAAATGAGAGGGAAAATCTCTAACAGACGATGCCAAAGCACTTGGGGCATTTTCTGCATCAATCTCCACTCAGTAAGATGGATTAGCTGGCTAATGTAACTCATAGCACAGCAAAAGGAGCAGGAGCCCAGGCTAGAACTGGGAAATGCATTACAGCAACTGCTCCAAAGCTCCCGAGCCAGCAAAGGCACGGCTCCGAATTTTCCGTGCAGATTTATCGGCACACTTCAAACAAAAAGCACCACAAAGGCAATGTGCTTCTGCAGACAGCTTCAGGAGCCTCCATAAACCCATGGACGTGTAGTCCACAAACCTGTGCACTATATCCATGGGTTACAGCATTAGGAGCACATCAAGGTTTTCAAATCTGGTAGATGTAATATTTACCCTTTGAAAACTGACAAAAGAAGTTTCGGATCATCTCTGCTCTCTGCATTAAGCCCCAACAACCTAAAGAAGGACTAAAGCACCTGCCTTTAAAGAGCAGGAAACAAGTACACAGGAAAACAGACCAGAGTCAGGCTTACCAGATCCTGGGAAGATGCCAAAATAATCTGAGGAAAAACCTCTCTCCTGCATATGTCAGATAACAGAATGGACGAGATTCAACACACGGTTTCTTAGACACAAACTGTATCAAAGGAATATAATTCCCTCCAGTGACACAGTAACAATGTAGGTACTGAAACAGCAACTACAGGCAATAGAGTTTTGGCTTAACTGGACTTTTGACACTCTGAAACTGACAGCCATATAATCTAAACAAAAGCAGAACATACTGAAGTACTCAGAGATTATTAGAAACCCACACCCAGAGATAAGCTATCATTATTTCAGTCTGAGAGAAAATTGGTAGCAAGCCCATGCACATGGCTTTAATCTTTTCACGTTCTCCACTGTTACAGAAGGTAACCAGGGGAAGAGGGGTTTTAGCAATGAACTTACTGCAGGCAACTTCATATTTTGCTCTGCCTCACTTGGATTTCTTATGGTGACAAGCAACAATTTCCAATCTCTTCCAGACATTCTGTCCACAAACTACACATTGGAAAATATCAGGATGCTAACAGAGAATAATCTCAGTTTCAAACAACTTGGATGAAGGGTCTCAGAATCCACAGTCACTTGAAGCAAATAAAAGTCACCTGAAGTAACAAATTGTTTAACAGAGCAAAAAGGTAATAATAATAATCACCTGTACAACACAACATGGAAAGCAAGCTTGAATTCTGTTCTGTCCACAGATATGCTGAGTGGTAATGTGCTAAAGAATCTGAGGCTTATGTTCAACATAAATCAAATGTATCACTGAAAAAAAACTAAATACATCAAGAGTCATCAGCCTGCCTGGATGAAATGCAGGCAGGAAAAGAATGAAAAAGAACACAACATCATTTTGACTCTGGCTGTTGCACTAATGACTCAGATGGAACACCATGTCCAGCTTCAATAAAATGCAAACCAATCCAGACATTCCTACAAAAGAGAAGTAATAAAGAGTTCACAAGTGTATAAAATGCATGGTAGCGTTCTTAAATGCTTCAATTATAGCAAGTAAATTTAGATGGGAAATTAGGAGTAGCATTTTCGATAGTAACAACCGTAAAATATCAAAATAGATTGACTAAGGATAAATCTCCATTGGAAACTTATGTTAGCTCATTAAACATCCCTTCCTTGTGACTGAAATATGGTGAATTTATGAGAACAAGTCAATTACCTCCTTTCATTCACAGGTGGGTCATCTGAGCTTCCAGCTTCTAGATGAGCTACCATGAAAATCTATTAACCATTACTAAGAAACAACTTCCAGCATGAAGGCTTTGTAACACTGTATGGAAACAATAACAGATATACAACCCTGAGGGAGCTCTTGGAATGAAAACACAGAGGAAAAGTGGCACACTAGAACCACAATGAGATGGAGGGTCCTTAATTACAACAAAAACAAACCCAGAGATGCAAACAACAAGAGCTGGGGTGCAGAAACAAGAAGGAAGACAGGAACATCAACCCCAAACACGGTGTCAGCAACTGCACCCAGTAAAGCAGAAAACACCATTAACTGTCTCAAGCAAAACTCAGCTACAAAAAAAAAAAACCCAAAACAACTGAGAAGCAAAGCAGGAGAGCAAACTGAGACATGCTGTCCTCTGCTGGAAGCGGCTCTGGAGGAGCCTGAAAGCACATCGGGACCACTTTGATCACTCCTTTGATCTCTGGGGAATGCAAGATCCAGGCATGGCTTTAAACCCGCACAGCTCTGCCGGAACGGGGCTGCTGCCTTCTGAACTCCAGCACTGCTGTCACCAAGGGGACACTGCTGAAGCCACCACCACACCTTCATGGCAAGAGAAGAGAACAGGAGCAGGGAACAGAATGAAAAGTAACACTTTTTTCCTAAGACAAGGAGATAAATCCTTTCTTGTAACTGACTTCCTTCATCCTGTTCACTTACAGCAATGTAACAAGGCAAGCAAAAGCTCCCAGGCTGCATTTTTTCAATGTCATTCACACGTGGTTTAAAAACATACACATCACAGGAAAGATGACAAGACAAAAATAAAAACTATAGAAAGGGCTTCTGCTGCAGTGCTGGACTTGTATGGTGCACATCCAAAAAGAATTTAGAGTACAGCCCTTCAAACTCCCACACTAACTAAGGATGGGCTCCAGATCTGAAAGTGAATGAGTTCAGGTTATTTGTGACTTAAATCAGCAAGACTTATCTGTGACTAAAATCGGCAACAGCCAGTGCTGGGTACTATGTAAGGGCTGAATTTTGGGAGAAAAGGGAAAAAAGTAATGACTGTTCTTGGGGGAAAAAAAAAAAAAAAAAAAAAACACGAATGAGTTAAGACTACCATCAGCACAGGTTCGCAAGAGGATTTCCCAACATTTAAACCAGCACCAAACCTTCAGCAAAGCACTCTTCATTCAGCAGAATTAACGCATTAAAATAATACAACAAAACACCTTTTTCCTTTACTCGAGCACAGTTTTAAACAAGAAATGTTTAACTCTACGGGAAATGTTTTTCCCCCTGCGCTCTCCGCTCCGCACGCCGAAGCGCGGCGGGACAGGAGCGTGTCCCGAGCTCCCGCCGGGTCCCGGGGGTTCCTCCCCGGGAATTTCACTGCACAGAAGGCACCGAGGGCAGTCCAACCCACACCGGAGCCAGCCCGGGCTGACACGGGCCCGACCGGCCCGGAGCCGCCTCGCAAGCGCCGCTCGGGTCTGGCGGAGCCGCCGCCGCCCCCGGACCGGCCGGGGCAGCGACCCCTTCCCCCAGGCCCCGGCCGAGCGGCCGGGGCTCCGGACCGCGCCCGCTGCCCCCGGGGCCCGGCGCCACTCACAGCGTGTGCCCGCAGACGTTGACCATCAGCTTCAGGGAGGGGTTGCGGTACTTGGTGGTCTTGCACCGCGGGCAGCCCAAGTCGTCCATGGCCGTCTCCCGCTCCCCTCCCTCCTCCCGCCGCGCCTTCCGCCTTCCGGTGCCGCCAACAAACGGCCCCGCCGCCGCCCAGCGCCGCCCCGCGCGTTCCGCACGCGCCCCGGCCCCGGCAGCGCCCGCCCGAGCGGGAAGAGCTCCGGTGTGACAGGGGGAGACGGGGGATACCTGCCCGTGAGCAGCGCCTGCCCGGGCCCCAGAGCTCCGGTGTGACAGGGGGAGACGGGGGATACCTGCCCGTGACTGACCAAGAGGAACCACCGAATCAGTCACTTCGGGAAAGACCAGCGTGTCAACCAGACCTTGGCACTAAGTGCCACGTCCAGTGTATCCTTAAACGCCTCCAGGGAGGGTAACTCCACCGCCTCCCTGGACAGCCCATTCCAATGTTTAATTACTCTTTCTGAGGAGAAATTCCTCCGAGTGTCCAACCTAAACTTCCACTGGCGCAGCTGAGTCTGTCCCCCCGTCCTGTCGCTGGTAGCTCGGGAGAGCCCGACCCCCACCCGGCTGCAGAAGTCACCCCCGAGCCTCCTTTTCTCCAGGCGAAACACCCCCAGCTCCCTCAAGCGCTCCCCATAGGACTTGTGCTCCAGACCCTTCCCGGCTCCGCTACCCTTCTCTGGACTCACTCCAGCACTTCAGTGACTTTCTTGAAGTGAGGGGCCCAGAAGCGGACACAGCAAAACTCCCTCAGCTCCAGCAACGGCAGCAGACAGCACCGGGAGTGTTTTAACCCTTCCCCTTCCCGGGAAAGCCGCAGGTGACGGAGCCGCCGCTCCCCGGGGGCTCCAGGTGGAGACGGGAGATGGGGGGGGAGCGGAGAGAGGAGCGCGGCCGCTTGATTGACGGTTGCCATGGAGATGCCGTAGCCCCGCCCTCCCGGTGCGTCGCAGCCAATGGGCTGGCGCGGCCGGGGCAGCGGTGGGCGGGGCCACATAGTCTTGCGGCGGGTGCGGGAGCCGCGGCGGGGGGAGCGGCGGAGCGCGGCCGGGATACAGCAGCGATCCCGGATGGTCACTGCGGGGCCGGGGGAAACCTGATCGGCTAGAGCAGGAGGAGGAGAGAGATAGGAAGGGGGGAGAGGAGGAGAAGGGAACGAAAGGAAAACAAACCGAAACATGTCTTCTGCCTCCCCCGCCGCGGACGACATCGTGATCGCGGTAGAGATCAAGGAGGAAAATGTGATGGAAATGCTCTCCGAAGCCCCCGACGGGCCCGCGCCGCCGCCCCCTCCCGCCGCTGCCCAGTTCCCCATGGAGCATGCAGGCTCCGCTGCCGCCGGCGAGGAGGGAGCCGCGGAACAGGTACTGCTCCATACGGAACTCCTGGCCAGGAATCACCACGCTGCCTCCTCTCCCTCCTCTTCATCTTCCTCCTCCTCCTCCTCGTCGCAGACCCCCTTGGCTTTCTCCCCGGACCACGTCGCCTGCGTGTGCGAGGCGCTGCAGCAAGGTGGGAACCTGGACCGCCTGGCCAGGTTCCTGTGGTCTTTGCCCCCGAGCGATCTGCTACGTGGCAACGAGAGCCTGATGAAAGCCCGGGCGCTGGTGGCTTTTCACCAGGGCATCTACGCCGAGCTCTACAGCATCCTGGAGAGCCACAACTTCGACTCCTCCAACCACCCGCTGCTGCAGGAGCTCTGGTACAAAGCTCGCTACACCGAGGCGGAGCGAGCCCGGGGCAGACCCTTGGGGGCGGTGGACAAGTACAGGTTGCGGAGGAAATACCCCCTGCCCAGGACCATCTGGGACGGCGAGGAGACGGTCTACTGCTTCAAGGAGAAGTCCCGCAACGCGCTGAAGGAGCTCTACAAGCAGAACCGATACCCCTCGCCCGCCGAGAAGCGCAACCTGGCCAAGATCACCGGGCTGTCCCTCACCCAGGTCAGCAACTGGTTCAAGAACCGCAGGCAGCGGGACCGCAACCCTTCCGAGACCCAGTCCAAAAGGTGAGGGAAAACTTTTCCTCCCCGCCCCCTCTCCCGCCTGCCTTTCCCTCTCCCGGCTCTTTCTTCCCTTGCAAACATGGCGCTTACCTTCGGTGCGCCTCGTCCTCCCCTCCTTCCTCCTCCCCGCTCCCTCGTTCCCAACACACCCACCCGGCCCGGGCGTGCGAGGCGGCGCGGGGAAACTTCCCGGACCCGCCGCCCCGCGCTCCCGGGAGAGCTCCCGGCACGGGGGAGCCGCGGGGCGGACTCCCGGGAGGGGACGGGACGGGGGTGTTTGTTCCCCCCGCTCCTTGTTTTTATTCAATTGTCGCGCCTGACAGAGTTAATCATTGACGGCCGGAGGACGCGCGGGGTCCCGGCGCTCCCTCTGTTTTGAAACCTGACTCGGGAGCGGGCCGGGCTCGGGTTTCAGCGGGGGAGCGGGGCCGGTTCCCGGGGCTCCCGGCCGCGCCGCGGGGCGGGAGAGCGGCCCCGGCCCCGCTCCGCCCGCGGCAGGGGCGCGGGCAGGTGGAGGTGACCTCCCCGCTCCCGCCCCCCGCCTTCCTCCGGGAAGGGACGGGAAGGGGGGAGAAAGCGCGGGGAGGAGGGGGGAGGAAGGGAGCGGGGAGAGAAGGAGGGAAAGCGGCCGGCGGAGGGGGCCCCAAGGCATTTCTCAACCAAGGGCGCGATTGTGCCGCCGCGGCCCCTCTCCGCGGGACACATCAAAGGGCGAGGGGGGAGGGAGGGGAGAGCGACCGAAAAATGCAGCCGAGGGCGGACCAGTCAGCGAAAAAACCCGGCGCAGCCCCGGGCGGAGGCACAAAGGCCGCCCCCCATCTCTCCGTCCCTCCCCCCGGCCGCCCGGCACGGCCGGAGGTGCCTCCGCCGGCACCGGGGGCAGCGCGGGCCGGGGTCTCCCCCCGGGCCGGGGGCGGCAGGCTGAGCCCGGAGGGTCCGGCGGCGCTTCCCGGCCTTGCCTCACCTCCCAGCGCTTTGCCAAATGGCCGCGGCCGGTCTCACACGTGTGGGCACCGCGGGCCGGCGGAGGGGGGCCCAGGCAGCCCCCTTCGGTCGCCGGCGTGGAGGAATTTATTTACAACTCCATAACCCAGTCTGTAAAGTTTCTCCTTTGGCGAGTGTTTGGTTTGATGTGTTCTATTCTAAGAAACCTCCTCCCTGGGCTTAAATATCAGTTTAAAGTGCCTTGTAAAGGCAAAACACAGGAAAAAAATTGTTCGTGGAAACTCCCACATACTTGTGTGAAAGCAAGAAGTCCGCCTTGGTGTAGAGATCCTGGTACGCCGTGGTAATGCAATGTCATCTCTCCATCTTTTCCCATAGCGAGTCAGATGGCAACCCTAGCACGGAAGATGAATCCAGTAAGGGGCGGGAGGATTTATCTCCCCATCCACTCTCCAGTTCATCCGACGGCGTTACCAGCCTCAGCCTTCCCGGCCACATGGAGCCTGTCTACATGCAGCAGCTTGGAAACACTAAAATAGCCTTGAGTTCGTCCGGTGTCCTGTTGAATGGGAACCTCATGCCTGCCAGTACCTCTCCTGTCTTCCTCAATGGTAGCTCGTTTCTTCAGGGACCCAACAGTGTCATACTCAATGGACTCAGCGTGGGCACTTCGCAGACTGTTACCTTAAATTCGCCCAAAACTGCGGCGAGTGTTGTGAGCAACGGGGTGTCCATCACTGACATACTGTCCTCATCGTCGTCAGAAGATGTTAAAGACTTCAAACTCCTTCAGGCTTCGGTCCCCAATGCCACAGCAGCCTTCAGCCCTAGCAACATCCCAGTCACTTTCCCAGGATTGATACCGAGCTCAGAGGTGAAAAGGGAAGGTGTAGAAACTGCTGCTTCCCAGGATGGAGGCTCCGTAGTTACTTTTACTGCTCCTGTCCAAATAAACCAGTATGGCATTGTCCAGATCCCCAATTCAGGAACAAATGGCCAGCTGCTGAACGGAAGCATTGGTTTTTCTTCTCTGCAGCTGCCTCCAGTTTCTGTGGCAACTTCACAAGGTAAAAGCTTTGCCTCTTGCAGTAAGAGGTATGAGAAAAAGTTGGAATCAGGCACACTGGGCATTTTAGAAGCTGTGGTCCTTTTCTTCCAAGGTATCAACATAGTATCTCAGCTGTGGCCACACGCAGAACATCAAATAATACTGTTTGCCTTCCTTTACAGTGGTTTATGCTCCTGGGCAGACTGTTAGATGAAGCTGAGCTCCTCTGTTAAGAGCATGGAAGGAGGTCTGGTAATTTACACCCCTTTCATCTCATGCTGTTGACAGAAGTCTGTGATAGGAGTCTTCACAAATATCTGTAAATTTTACATGTTTCAGTAATTCAAAATATTCCCCATTTGCCACTGAATTCTTTTAATGAGAAGGTTCATAAAAATGAAAATTATGGCAGCTGGAAATTGTTACCGTTGTTGTTCCTGTGGTGGTTGTTTTGTTTTTTTGTTTTCTTAATGAAGGCATTTCACAAAAATACATTTTGAATTACTGTAGACACAACAAGACCGAGCAGTTGCTTGTACAGTTTCTGTTCTGTAATTAAGAAAGATTGAACTTGAGGGAAACCATAGAAGTAAGCACTAGCTTGCAGATATAAAATGTGAGGCTCTTTGGATAAAACTGCCCTCAATCCAAGGGAAATATGTCATCACAGGTTCATGTGCCAAGTGTGCAGGCTCCTCCCCAAGTTTGCTTTAGAGTTGGTCTTTGCATACCATAGTCTGAATCTTGCAGCTGGCCAGGAAGAATCCCAGGGAGCACAAACCTAGTTCTGGATCCCTTTTTGAAGCAGGTCTGTTAAAAAGAGCAGTTGAACATCTTTGGTACTCATTGGCCACTTTATCTTTGATTATGAAAATTATTAAACTGGAATGATTCTCTCTGGTTTCAGGGGTGGTGAATACTATAGTGAAAGTCAATTTGTGCTGGTGTGCTACTTTGAATTTAGTATGTATAGGGTGTGAATTGTTCTTGCTGAAGCACAGGGAGAAACACTGAAGCTGTGCAACCACATTTCAAACGGGTGCACAATTATAAGGTCCTAAAATGTGGCACTCACAGGCACTGGA